TGCTTCATATAATTTATTATTGGTCTCATCAAATTTTATGGAATTTCTTCACACAGGTATAATGAAGCATTTCTAAGGAGTTTCCTCCAGTTTTAGAAGAGATGGTCTTCTATATGAAATTTGAGGTTTTCATAGCAGTGAAATTTGGACTGTGGTCTTCTGTGTTGTTATACCATGTGGATTAGGATAGGTCACTCCAAAACATCAGCAGGCACCTACAAGACTACACAATTTGACAACACAAAAAACCACAATTTAAAACTAGAAAATATTATCCTTACTACTCTTCACTCTGTCTTGCACATGCCACCATAAAATAACAGGGCAGTACATAAGAAGCCGTCAATAAAGTGCTGATGTCAGCTCATTGCCGAACTGACTAATCATCAGTGGCATCTTCTGTTTACAGAGTTTGGTTGTCAACACAAAATTTGGAGAGGATACAGCTCTTAGTGACAAGGTGAAAGCTTTACTGATGGGGATTATGATGCAACGAAGTTAATCAGAACAGAGAGAAACATGAGGGACTTGAATCTTGATACTCTTAAGAGGCTTCTCTCGTCCTTTACCATTCGCCAGACTCACCCTGATGTCATCTTGTTTCACACATCAAACAACAGAAGTACAGAATGTCCAAACAATTTTGAATCCAGACTTTTATACCAGACAGAACACAAAAAATCACACGAAGTGATATGTAAAACTATCTTACATCACTAGGGTTAAAAACAACAAACAGCTTCTCAGTTATTTCTTTCCTCCAAACTGCTTTCCTTATCCAATTATCCCCAAAAATTTACTCATTCTCTTAGCAAACGTGGGTCTAAAAATGGATTAAAGTGATTGAAATGAACAGTACTGGAGCATGACTGTCAGTATCATACAAATTTCTCCAAAGTATGTTAAACGGTTAAAAACAGGAGGAAGTACAAGTTACTTAGACAAATAAAAAAAATTGCCCTTAAGCAAAAAAATTGAACACAAATCAGAAGATCTTGCTAATATTAAATTGAGGGCTTCCATACTGAGTTTACTTGAAAATGATTCCATAATTCTGGCATTATTAATTATGAAAGAGTGGACAGACAAGACAGTTTTTTTAACTAACTCCATGGAATGAAGCTTTTTTCTTAAAAAGCTGACAGTCACTCAGCTACTTAAGAAGTCCCTCCATCTTTATGAAGTTCAAATGTTCATTAGCATGTTGATGAGGACCCTCCACTTGTCCATATCCTGAGCCAGAGGAAACCAGTTTATACCCTCACAACCAATTTCTTTAGTATTCACTTAATATGAACCTCCCAACTACACCCATGTTACACATCCTGCACCTCATATGCTCCTTGATTTCACCACTTGAATAGCGTTTGATGCAGATAACAAAATATGCAGCTCCACATGATGTGATATTCTTCATTCTCCTGTTACTTGTTTGAAGAACTCATCTCCAAAGCAGTCCACCATCCAGAGGTTGCTTCCAGTGGAGGCATCCCACCGAGTTCTCCTTCAGAGTCCATTTGTTCTCTCCTGTCTCAGCTGGATATTGAAACGAGAGCATGCTAGGAGACAATTCTACAGCAGGAGTCAAGCCCATGACCCCATTAACCAAGACATGAATTGCCCTGGAGCTTTACAGACAAGTATTACTATAGAGTTGGTGAACTGATTTTCAGAAAAATTATGTTGATATTAGGAGGAGGGAAACTGAAGAAGGGAACAAAAAATAATAATCAACAGATGAATTAAAAAAAATGCATTACTATGTCCTGGAATATCCAGTAGAAGAACTGGAGAAAGAAAAAACTGAAAGATAATTAAATGCTAAAAGAGAAGAAAGCAGAAGTAGACAAATTTTCCTTTCAATGGCATGACTTAGAGCGAGGCATGCACCATGCATTGGGGGGAGAAGAGAGATGCATATAAAAGTGTACGCTAAATACTTCAGAGGAAGAGAAGGCCCAGTACACTTCAGCCTAGATGGAAGAATAGGCCTCCTATTGAAACTGAGCTTAAGGGAATGGAGTGTGAAGTGAGGACTGAACTGATTTGGCTAAGGATATGGTTCAGTTATGAATTTATGTGAAGAAGGTAAAGAAACTTCGGGTTCCATCCAAGGCGAATAATTTCTTTACCACTGGAGCGGCTATAGGCTTCTTAAGAAGAGATGTGTTCCATGGAGAAAATGAACATATTCAGAATTTTAACAGATGTCACTGAATATTGGTTATAACTTGTAAGGTCTAGAAACTGAGTGCCTGTCTGGAGACCTACATGTCTTATACTGGTCTGTGATTTTTATGTTCTTCCTAAATTCATGCAGACATAATTCTAGGACCGGCATATCGAGCATGACAGTTTCTACGGTTATGTCGGCATACACAAACCATGGGAAGACAACATCAGCAAAGAGGAACAGTGGCAAAAAACAACGTTGATAGAAAGAGACCATCATACATTGAGAAGGATTGTTTTGAAAAATCATAGAACTACTGCAGCACAGGTGAACTGCAGCAGAACTGGATATTCATCTTGAAGACCCTGTTTCCACAAAAACTGTCTGAAGTGCGTTTCACAAATCCAAAATCCACGGTAGGGCTGCAACTGCTAAACCTCTGATTACAGAAAGTACTACTCAGATGAGTAAATGATGGTATCACGACCATAACACCTGGACGACAACCGGAAACGCGCGCGCGAAATGGTCAGATGAGTCGTCCTTCACGCTGTTGCCTACATCAGAAGGGTTTACGTTTTGACAACACCCAAGGAAGCCTACAATCCGGAATGCACGGTTCGGTTCCAACAGTGAAACACGGGGGAGATTCTGTGATGGTTTGGGCAGCAATATCGTGGTACATTGTACTGCTGGTCCCATTATGACCCTTCGTGGCCGATTTATTGCAAGGGAGTACATGGACAGGTTGGGTAATCAGGTGCATCCCATGATCCAGACGTTATTTCCGAAAAATGATGCAGCTTTTCAAGATGACAATGACCCCATTCACACAGCTGGAACTGTTCAGTCATTGTTTGAACAGCATGAAGATGAACTTCAACTTCTTCCCTGGCCAGCAAAGTCACCACTCCTGTCAAGTTTGAAGACTAAAGTGAGGAACAGACTTCCACCCCCAGCATCACTAAAGCAACTTGAAGATGCTCTTCAAGAAGAATCGTACAAAATTCCGCTAGAGACTGTTCAAAACTTTTATGAGGTAATACAAGAACTGAACACCAGATGGCGACAAATAAACAGTATAAGAATAAGAACCAGCCCAACTCAACAATTAGTTGGCAGATAACATAGATAACGATAACGATAGATAACATAGCACAGCAAGGAGAAGTACCTAAACAAGTAAAGTTATATTAAAAAAACTGCGCAAACATAAGTTCTAATAGAAGAATTTACACTTGTTACAGACATACGTGTGCACTAGGGGAACTATATATCAAGAAATGAACATCAACGCAGAAAGACAGCAGTTTCCTGAACCACAAATTTGAACACCTGACGATGACCACTTCAGTCAAAACATGTCGTGAAAACTTTTAAAGTGACTAGCTTTCATTAAGTTTTAATAATTAGGTGCACATAAGACTGTAGAAATAATTAAGAACACTTATACGAATCGATTCCAAGGAATGCAGCTGTATTGAAGGCAAAAGGTAGTTGAACACCATATTAATAAATAAATGTGTACAGTATCTTTAGCATTTCTGTTATTTCGTTCAACCACTGCACATTAACACACACAAATATGGCGACTGTATGAAACTTTGAGGTCGTACATGACACAGATAATGTGGTCTGAATCTGTACCAGTGGAAATTATGCACAGAAAATTATGAGCAAACTTTATAGTTACTAATTTACAGTTGTTACGTAGTCTCACCTTTACATACAGACATACAAACGTAATTATCTGAAGGTAAGTATGCATCATGGCATGTACTGTCTTCGCTCGCTTGGAAACCGGGATCGTGGGTTCGAATCCCACTCAGGGCATGGGTGTTTAGTTTGTGTGTGTGCGTTTTTCTGTGTTTGTGTACAAGTAGAGGCCTTGCGACGAGCTGATCACCCGCCCAAGGAGTCCTACCGAATGTGTAAGATCTAGAAAAACCGAAGTGAACGGAGAAGTTCATGGAGGTATGCCTAGGCCCACTAGGGCTGTAGTGCCAAGGGAAAAAAGTATGCGTCGTAAGGCTTCCTCAGAATTTCTTATTTTAAATGGTTGTGGAAGAGGCTCGTTTTTGCTATATGCATGTCACATGTTTTTTTTTATTTGGAACATTTGATCGCGAAACGCGCTTAGTACATTCTGCTTCGAATAGGCAGTTATGTTGTTCGTTTTGTTATGTGTCAGCTTCAGTTTTGTTACACAAGTCCCTAGTTTTCGTGTCAAAGGCACACAAAGACAAAAACAGTGAGCTGTACCCTGCAATTTTCTATCAAGCCCCGAGAGACGATTTGTTTGATAGGAAGAGCTCTAAAGAATACAACTGAGTGGGTAGTGGTAACAAGAGAGGAAGCGCGGGGTGAGGGGATGGGGCGGACTCTAAAAACAAGACTCAAGAGACAAACTCTCAGCCTTTATACCACCATCAGCTTCTTCATGATGTCGCTTCCTGTTTACTTTAATCTCATTCTCTTACTACAGAGAGCTCTCAGAATCTGTCGTCGAAGATAGGAGCAAGTTCCTCTTAGTTACTTGATGACAGTTGATGCTTTCTTTATCTTTACAGGCTTCCTTCCGCTTCTGAGAGACACTTCTGATTTTAGCGCGTTTCATATACTCGTAAATACTTAATATGACTAACTTCTTCGTTCATAGTTTATTTAATGACTTTTCCAGCCGTATCCGAATGGTGATATGATTACATGTAAATGATGCTGTCATATAGGCACGTTTCTCTGACTACATATACACTGCAACCCTTGAGAGTGCCACCTTCACATGCTTCTGCGGTATAGCTCGAACACAACTGCAGAGGCCTCTTACCTGATGGTGGCAACGCCAGTGCCCAGATCAAAGGTGAACTCGAGGTGACCATCGCTCATGTACACAGCCATGAAATCGCCGACTCCATCCGAACGATGCCCATTGTACAGAATGACCCCATCTTGAGCAATAGGCTTCAGAGTTAACTGCAGGTCAAGCCAGGACAGCGCTGATCCCCCGAGACCAGGGTACCTAAGGTAGCTTGATCCATTGAAAGAGGGAACCTGGAAAAGTTAGAAGGCAAGTAGACAGGAGGTTCAGACTGTCTCTACTGCTGACGTTAGTTGGTGGAAGCAGCACGGTACTGCATGGACTTAACTCACTCTCGTCTTACCTCTCTTTTTATTAACATCCTTCGCGGTAGCTTGTCAATTTAATTTACAGGAACTTAAGAATTGCCATTTTAGGTTGTGAAGAGGTTTCGAAGAGCCCACATGGATACGTAACATCTCGCATGAAAACAATTCACAACATAGGGAACTGTTTTTAACGTGATATATTTTATACGTAAAGATTCGGTTTCATCATTTATGATAGGCAGGGAAACTTCCATGAATTTCGTTAATATTCTGAACTCCAGAATTACCAAATTTATGATGTTTTCAAATATGTCGATGACAAAGGAAAATAGTCAGACCTGATGGCCTAAATATTCTATATGTTGAACATTATTATCCTCAAACTAATAATGATTTCAAACACGACAATAATTTATCCAGAATTAAGAGAAATGAAATTAATTCTGCTGTGCAAGAACCGGTATGTTTAACACCACTGTTATCGAAACCAATTATTAACATCATATTCTACTTTCATAATAAGTTTGTTAATGTCATCATCCCATATCTTTCTCCGTCTCTCACGTGACTGCTTTCCCAAAGGTAAGGTACAATAAATTGTTCTATATTGTCACGTGGTTTGACTATAGACGGAGTTTGGATTGGTAATAGGATTTATTGAACACTTACAGGTCGTAACTACAAATAACTACGACAGTCTGACCGAGACACACACTCCAACGATCACTGTAACTAACGCACATATAAAGTCTTCTCAGTCTTCATTAGCCGTTGCTTGGTAGCGTCTTCCAATTTCTCTGGGTTCCCGAACTGTTTCCGGCCTCACCTACCAGCTTCTCTCTTTTCACAGATGAAACTCTCAACTGATTCAACAAAAACGCAGTGAGAGTCAGAGTTACTTTACGACAGACCGTTTACCGCCAACAGTTCGTCTTGGCGCCAAGACCCTTGATGTTCACGACCAGACATTTTCTCTTTGCAGCTGAACCCTTGTGGTCATAGTCCTTACGTAACACCCTCTCTGACGACAGGATGGCTTTGTCTCCTATGAACAGGCTTCGCTTTTGTCATGTGCACATATCGCTCATATTGTCATATTTGTTATGGTTAGTGTACATATGACGCAGGGCTCCGGACAGAGCTCGAAGCTCACTTCATCACTGGACAGACGTGAGTTGTTGGTGTAGTATTTCGGTGATGTAAGTTTATAATCGAAAGTAACTAGCAATTTAGCCCGGGGAGGGGGGGGACATGGTTCTAGACTAGTCATGTGAACAGAATTTTTTACTGACTGCCATTTTAAATAGGCTACAGATTTCGTAGTTGTTGTTGTTGTTGTTATTATTATTATTTTTAATTTTTTTCGGGAAGATATTCTTGCTTGCTGAGTTTCTTTCTGCCCCCTAGTTTGTAATTTAAGCATTTAGTATTTCTCAGCATTTTAAAAAGTACAAACATGGGGTCGGTGTATACCTTTCATATTACATTACTAAACTACATTGTATTGTAACGAGTCTAGAATCCAGAAGAGTAACTTCTATGGAAACGCTAGAACAGGCCGTTGCCTAGGAAGTAACAATAGCGATACAGTAATTCTAACAGTGAGCATTGCATAGAGATGAGTTTCCACGTTTATAACAAAGGCTCGTTTGCATAGCAGCCGCCTAGGTTATAAAACGGGCTTGAATGCATTGGAACAGTTAGTCTGGATCCAACCGCTAAAGAAGACAGTCCAGTATTGCCGAGATATTGCAAGCAGTAATTGTAACACTGCAAGAGCTAATGATTGTAAGGTGTGTAAGGTGAGTGAGTGGAATAAATCCGCTATATCAAATACCACGGCGTAAACTTATTTGTAGCGTGACACACACAAACACGCTACACTGGTGTCAGAAGTTTTACGAACTTAAACACGCCTCAACGAATTATACTACCGCTTTAAGGAAAGAACGCACCCAAATTCAGGATGGGCACCAGAAGGAATATGTCACCGCTCCCGTCAGGATGTCCCTCCGTACGAAAGAAGCATGACGTAGGGGACACATCATGGGGATCAACCCAACTCGGAACAACGTTGCAAGGGGAGCCCCTAAATGGCGAAGACTTCAGGTGGAACCGGAGGGCAACGTTAGAGTAAAAAACGCATACACAAGACAGCGGCTGCATCCAAAAAACGAGAGGACAGCCAGCCGGACGCTCAGGAAGGTCATCGGGTTAAAAATTGTGAAGTTAGCAGTGGGACTTTCCAGCAAGTTACCGAAAACGAGACACTGGACACTGTGGAGGTTTCGACCCCCTCCAAAACGGAAAAAGGGAAACGGCTTTATGGGAGGAACCGGTAACGTAGAAGTACCAGCCTCCCCAACAAGAATGAATGGAGAATGGAAGTGAGGAATGAATGTAAAACAACGAGATCGACAAATTTTCGGCTACGGGAGTGCTCGGAGCGAGCACCACTGAAGAGAGGGGCGGATGCGGTAGAATGAACAGCGCAAAAAGATGCGCAAAGGACACCAAGACCGAATGCAGACGTTGCCAACAAAACGCCGCGGAATCGAAACCGAGGGAGAACCTTTAGGCTGTTCGGGGACGAACAACCTTTAGAAGGGAGCAATGTAACGTGTCTGGAACCCAGAAGAGTCACTTCTGTGGAAACGCTAGAATACACCGTTGCATAGGAAACAACAATTGCTCTATTGTCGTTCTAACAGGAGTCTCCACGGTTATAACAAAGGCTCGGTTGCATAGCAGCGACCGAGGTTATAAAACGGGGTTGAATGCATTCGCACAGTTGGTCTGTTATAAGTAGGGACCGGATTTTAATGCAAATGCATATTTCTTTCTTGCAACCAGAAAGTATGCTCGTTTGGATATATGTATAATTACTTCATTTCTTAAATTTTGAACATGATTTTATGGTGCATATAAATGCATATTTTGCATGTTTTATAAATAAGCATCATATTTTCGAAGATCTCTATTTATACTGCATATTTCCATTTTAAAATGTTTATCATATATATTTTTAATTTTATGTTTTTAATTATGATCGTGTGTATACAATTTTTCTTTTCCGCGTTAGAATATGTTGCATATTTGACTCAACATTTCGTCATGATTCATGTTTCTGATGCAATTTCCAGGACGGGACTTCCCTGATCCCTGTACTCGTAACTTGCCTCATCCGCGTACCATCAAAGCGGCCGCGAAGAGATTAGTCGGAAGCATTCACACGTAGCCGCTATTAACCTAATACTATTCAACCGATAAGGGACTTCACTTATTTATTTCCGAAGTCTCCGTGAGGTTCGTTACGCTTCTTCAATTGAAGCTGGGGGCCATTCACATTAGTGGTGACTAGTCTGTAGTTAAGTTTGTTTAGCTTTCTGTAGTCATGCCGAAGGTGAAAGTAAGCCAGAAAACTAAATTACAGCTGTATCAGCGGGAGTTCGAAGGAGAGATCATAAGTACGGATACCGAAATTCTTTATTGCCGAGCGTGTGAGAAAACAGTTTGTTGTGAAAAACGCTTTCAAGTGCTTCAGCATTTGAACACTAATATACACAAAGAGAATATTAAAATTAAATCCACGAAAAGTGCTCCTGTTCAAAAATTGCTTAGTGAATTTTCTAATAATAGTTTTTTCACAGTTTTCCTCTGATTTATGTGAAGCCCTTTTAGCGGCAGATATTCCGCTGTGAAAACTAACCAGTCCTACTCTGAGAAACTTCATAGAGAAGTATACACAGTGCAAAGTGCCTGATGAATCTACTGTGCGCAAAAATTACGTGAAGCAGTGTTACGATCTTACAGTTGATAGCATTAGAGATAAGATTCAAGATAATTTTGTGTGGGTATCAATCGACGAAACACAAGATTGTGAGGGACGGTTTATTGCAAATTGTATAGTTGGATCCCTTAATAAGAATGAACAATCTACCCCATATCTTCTTGCGGTAGAGCAATTTGAAACCACAAATAGCTCCGCAGTTTCCGGATTTTTTATCAATTTCATGAATTTACTATGGCCGAATGGCATTCAGTATGAGCGCGTATTGCTCTTTGTGACTGATGCCGCAAGTTATATGATGAAAGCCGGTACTGCTCTTAAAGTTATATTACCAAACATGACACATTTGACTTGCCTTGCCCATGGGTTGCATCGTGTTGCAGAAACAATTCGTGCAAAATTTTCCGCTTGTTGACAAGTTGTTGTCTTCTGTGAAGAAGGTATTTGTTAAGGATCCATACAGAAAAGAAGCCTTCAAAGCAGTAGCACCGAGCGTTCCACTTCCGCCAGATCCAATTTTAACGCGCTGGAGCACGTGGCTGTGTCCAGCGAGTTATTATACCGAACATTTACAAACAGTTAGGAATGTCGTGAATACATTTGATCCCAAAAGTGCAGCATCAATTCAAATTGCCCAAGATGTACTAAAAAACGCAGAACTATAAACTAATCTTTCCTATATATCTGCTCACTTCTCTCATCTTCCATCCGCCATTTCCTCACTGGAGGCAAGCAATAGCAATACTACTTTGTATCAGTCGTTAAGTGTGTTCAAAACCACTGTTTCCAAATTGAATTCGGTTCCTGGAAGAGTCGGTGAATTAGTAAAGGAAAAAGTACACATCATTCTTTCAAAAAAATCCAGGACATGAACAAATTTGTGAAATTGAACTGTAAACGTACTGAACTGCCAAGTAAAATATAACTAACAATGGAGAAAATAGCGGCTTTTGTACATGCGCCCCTAAGTTCCTGTGAGGTGGAAAGAAGTTTTCCCCGCTATAAGGACATCTTACAAGACAATAGGAGGCGACTAACTATGGAAAACCTAGAACATTTAGTAATTGTGAACTGCAACAGAAGAGAAGTTGAAAGTTCGCAGAGCTAAATGTGAGTACCATTGGTTTTTTTAAAT